CATTTTATAAATATTCTATCAAATAATCAGAGTCTTATTGACATGCTTGATGTAAAAAGAGTCTAAAAGCTGGTTATGAAACTCTTAATTTCTATATAGCAATAAGATACTATTTGTTATTACTTCTTCCATTTAAACAAACAACCTACTCAAAGACATTTAATTGGGAGTCATTTTTGATTTAACTAATTTCATTAAATCCTTTAATAACAACTCATAACTTTACCAATAACATTTTCTAAATTCTTTAATGTACTTGAATTGTACTAGAGTCACAAATCGATATGTTCTATCATTTCCCTTTTTTCGCTTGAAATGAGTAACAGGTAAATAGATAAAAGTTAGGATTAACAAAAACACTTGACTTTCTCTAGTATATATCCTTACATTATTCTTACATTATTTATAGTATGCTCTCATTTGTTTATGAACTTTATCAATCTTTATGCACGTAAATTTATCCTTCTAGATGCCAGTCTCAATCTTTTAGTTCATAAAGTCAGAGTAAGTGCTTTTCTAATAAATTAATTTTGTGCATAAATAAATTGTTGATATTATACTGTTTTTATTCGTTGACGTAACTCTAAAATAATTATATAATATAAGGTTAAGTGTTTATCATTGAGTGTCAATTCATTGGATTTTGTTTTCCTTCAACTTTTTCAGAGTCATCACCTAAAATTCGATAAAGACAGTTTATCCTAAACAACTCAATTACTATCCTTCTATTATAATTAAGCATTTTGAGAAGATAATTTCTCTCTGTTGTTATCAATCAAATAGAATGATGTACATTTTCAGACAGTATTTGATTTTATCACAAATAGAAGTTGAAAGTCAATAAAACCAAATCAATCAATGAAAAATTAAAGACCATTTCATTTCTCTGATACAAAATAAATACCATTTGTGCTAATAGCTGAATAGAATAAAATAAATAAAATTAAGCTATGAAGATAATAACACAGCACTTGATAAGAATGGTTCAACAGCAATTGTCTATCTAAACAACAACATGAAAGAACCATAATACTGAATATGAATACAACAGTTAAATAAGAATACTATAATCAAATAAATACTAATCTAACACCTCTATAATAAAAAAGACTATAACATGAAATAACTATTTCAGTAAACACTTTTATTTCTTCATTTAAATACCAGATAAAAGAAGTTCAAAATATTTTTGATGGATTGTCATGATGGATTGATAAATAATAAGAGAAATGAGAGTGTATATTAAATTCATAATTAATAGTTTTATTTAATGCAATGTATCAACAAGAATAATTATTATCTAATTATTTTTTGAAATAATTTAATTTCTGAATGAATTAAAATAAATGAGAGATAATCTAAAGAACCAAATCATTAGAAATAAAGTAATGGGATTAATGGCATTTACTAAAGATGATTTTAAAACAATAAACGACATGAATGGAGATAATCAATAAGACTTTTTGATAGATAAATTTTATAATAACTGAAACTATACAAAAAGAAAATAGAAAAAAAAACTTGTATTGGTAAATGGTTTGTGTTTGTCAGTCTTATCTCTCATTACTTAATTCTTTTGTTGAAGGAGAGAAACCAAGTGAGGTGAAATACAAACGACATGAACCATTAACACCATACCTATATCTCGATGTTCCTGGTGTAATAGATGATTTTTATTTGAATATCATTCACTGGAACACACAACATGAGTTATTAGTTGCATTGACTGACGTGTTATATATTTGGAATTCAGAAAGTGGAGAAGCAAATGAAATATATAAATGTTCAAATGACATTGAGCTAAATACATATATATCATCAGTTTTATTTATGGATGATTCAACAGTAATATTTGGAGATGTATTTGGAGTATTAAGGGTAATTGACTTAACGACACAAAGACTAATAATGGAAAGACAAATGCATACAGATAGAATTAATTCATTAGCTAAAACTTGTTGTACATTAGCAACAGGAAGTAGAGATAATACAGTCCAATTATTTGATACAAGATGTGAGGATATAGTATGTTCTGAGTTAGTATGTCATAAAGGAGAAGTTTGTGGAATTGATTTTAATGGGTCTGGAACATATATTGGAACAGGTGCAAATGACAATTCCGTTATTCTTTCAGATTTAAGAATGATAAAACCATTTTTAACTTATTATCATAATGCAGCAGTGAAAGCAATTAAATTTGACCCTACAAATGATTATATAATTGCTACAGGAGGTGGTTCTTCTGACAGAACAATTAAATTAATGAACATTAATAATAACCAATTGATAACTGAACTTAAAACACATTCTCAAGTAACAGGAATTGTTTGGTGTGATGATGAATTAATGGTTACTCATGGATATCCTTTTAATACTATTACCTTTTATGATACACAACATTGGAATAAAACAGGAGAATTTGATGGACATGATGGTAGGATATTGTCCATTGCAATGAACAACTATGGTATTGCTGCAACAATTGGGTCTGATGAAATGATAAGAGTCTGGAAAGTGTGTAATTCCAGTGATTCAATTTTAAAATAAAAACAGTAAGACTCTAATTTGTAATCTTCTCATTTTAATTCTCTTATGATTGAACTTAAAGAAATTAGACATTCAATTAAAAAGTTAAAATTGTTCCATTCTGGTGTTTAAGATATGAAACAGTATTTTCAGAAAATGTTGATGCATTGGATAAAACACATTCATAACGTTTTGGATGAATTAATTTTTCAGTTTGATAATGTCTAAGTAATTTTAATTTACATTCCTTTTTTGCTTCTTGATATGTTTTATAATTTGTTTCAGAAAATGATTGTATATTATTTGATTGCTCTATTTAAATGAATATAAGGTAATCTATGAATGATAGAAAATAATAACAAACGAAGAAGAGTATATTCTTTAATTGAATTTCCCTCAAGACATATTGTTTGATATGAAATCTTTGTTGTAAACTAAAATGGATGAGATAACATCAAGAAAGTAGTAAAAAGAGAATAATCACAAACAAATGGTAATATAATATGTTTTGGTAATGAAGTTGTGTGAGTGATTTTATGAATGGGTTGGTTATTAAATTGTAGTCCAGTTACATTTATGATTGTTTTCAGTGAATTTAAATCAATAGAAAGTAAGTTATGATTCCCATTGACTTGTTGGTCATATTTTGGTGATATTCCATTCAAAAAGATAGTGAGAATATGTGTTGAAGTTATTAAAGTGATTGTGCTTTTAGATTGAAGAAAGGAGAATGGTTGTGAAATAGAATAGAAAAGAAAATGACAAGGAATAGATTGAGCATTTGGTGTTAGTATAGTTAGATGAAGAGTATTAGAAGAATAATGATAAACAAGATATCTATTTAATGAAGTGATGATTTGTATAGGTAGAGAAGGAGTATGAGTGATTGAAGGAAGAATTGGGAGTGAAAAGAAATGCAAAGGGTATGGAGGGAAAAAGGGGGATATTATAATATTGAAATGATAATGAATTAATGATGGATTTATTGGTGATGGTAATGGTAAACAATTATAACCAACTAAACATAAAAGTCAATTGAATAAATAGTAAAGAAATAAAAACAAACTTAATTGAGTTGCCGTTAAGTCAAATCCTAATAAAACACCTCCATCTTTCAAAAATTCTGAAGTGTCTAATTGTCTTAATGAATAGACAGAAGGAATAAGGGGGATATGAAAACGTTGAAAAGACTGTCGTTTTTGAATGAATTGAAGCATTTGAATAATTTCAGTTGGGTTTCATATTTCTTTTTAGGAATTAAAAGAGAAAGTCCAAAAAGAAAAAGAATAAAAACATTTAAAGAAACTGCATTATGAAAAATAAATCCCACAAATTAAACATATAACTAACCCAACAATAATTCCTGCCCAACCAAGGAATAAGATACTCAATATCATAATTAGTAGATACAATACATAAATATTAACTGTAAAATTTCCACAATAAATTTTATTAGTCTCTTCAAGTAAAATGTTTTGCGATTGGGTTTGTTCAATTTCATTTTGGTCATAAATCACTCCATTAACAATAACAACCTTCTTTGGTTTTTCTTCATTCATCTCTAGTTTGTTTGTTATTTAGAACAAAAGTTCTAAAAACAAAAGTGAAAGAGAAATTTTAGGGTTGATAACTTAAGTCTTTTAATTGTATTATAGGAGATTGTAGTGTGAAATAGAATTATTTTTTTGATTAAAGAAAACAACCCTTTTACTTTTTTAATGAGCTTAAAAATAATCAATCAGTCTGTTATAATCCATAATGGAACAATATGAAAATTATATTCCAGATGCATCCACTAGAATAAAAGATCGATCAGACAGAGCAACAAATGACCAAGTACTTGATCATCGTACACGTGTAGTATTATCGAAATTTATTAAAAATGGAATAATAAAAGAATTACATGGTACGGTGTCAACAGGTAAAGAGGCTAATGTATATCATGCATTTGGACAAGAATTTGAATTAGCAGTAAAAATATTTAAAACATCAATATTAATATTTAAAGATAGAGAACGATATGTCACAGGAGATTATAGATATAGAAAAGGATTTTGTAAATCAAATCCAAGAAAAATGGTCAAAATGTGGGCAGAAAAAGAAATGAGAAATTTAAAACGAATAAATACAGTAGGAATTCCATCTCCTAAAGTTGTTATAGTTAAAAATAATGTTTTAATTATGGAATTTCTTGGTCATGATGGATGTGCTGCACCAAGACTTAAAGATGCAGGACTAAATGATGATGAAAAAAATGAAGCATACAGACAAGTTGTATGGATGATGCATCAACTTTATCATGATTGTAATATGGTTCATGCAGATTTAAGTGAATATAATCTTCTTTGGTGGAAGAATAAAGTATATGTAATTGATGTAGGACAATCCATTGAATTATCACATCCTCAAGCAAATGATTTTTTGAGAATGGATTGTGTTAATATTTCAACATATTTTAATAAGATTGGAATACATACATTATCTCCTAAAGAACTTTTTTATACTATAACAAATGCTTCAATCAAAGAAAATAAAATTGAAAGTATTATTAAAGAGCATTTTAGAACTAATTGGGATCCAAATGATGAGGTCTTTTTAAATTCTTTTATTCCAAGTTCTTTACATGATTTAAATGAACCAATTCGTGATGTTTTTCAACCAAAGAAAATGACTGGTGTTTTGTTTATGCCAAATGCAATTCCAAATCATGTTAAACTTGCACCATTACAAATTACTGTAAATGATGATTCTGCTTCTGATTCAGAAAAAGAAGAAATTCAAAGAAAACGAATGAAAAAAATGAGTAAAAAACAAAAAGAATTATACAAAGATCAACTTGAAGAAGAAATGAGAGAAGCAGAGAAATTGGTTGATCTTAGAGAAATACAACTTGCTAAAGAAGCAGAAGAATTAAAAAAACAAGTAGAACAAACTAACAAAGAATTAAGTGATGAGAGTATTGATACTTCTGAAGATGAAGATGAAATGAACAGCGAAGAATATAAAGAGTATGTGAAAAAGTTAAAAGAAGAAAAGAAAGTTGATAAAGAAGAAGAAAAAAAATTGAGAAAGGAACATAAGAAGCAATATAAAATTGAAAGAAGAGAGAAATTAAAACATAAAATGCCAAAGAAAAAGAAAGAACAATTAATTAAACATTCAAAACGACATCAAACAAAATAAAGATAATATTATTGTTTTATATCTCAAAAAATTTATTCATTTATTTTTGATATTTTTTTTAAAAGAACCTTCCAATGAAATTGTGTTGGAAATAAACTGTATAATAGAAATAAACTATATTGAAGAAACTGAAATAATTATTTCTCAATATGAAGAAAATTCAATTGTTGATTTGTTTATTAATTGACTTTTTTCTAATAATTTTGTTTATTAAAAAATTTAATGAAGTTTATAATACGTGGAATATATCATTAAAA